CCACTAAGTGTTGTCAAAATATTTGAAATAAAATATGCAGGAAGTTTTCAGTTAGAGTACAACTGTGAGAGAGTTTAATACATGTTTTTGAAAATTAGACTATAAGTTTAACATGAGTTTTGTAAAGTGAATACACTATTTTATAGAACTTTACATTTTTTGAAATCAGATCAATGGAAAGATTGATAAAAATTAATTACTATTAAAACCAAGCTTAAAATGGGGGGAGGGGGTTAAGGATACATGTAATACATTAATCAATAAAGAAATTTTAAAAAACACTAAGCTTAAAAAAAAAAGAAGGCAACAGCCACCAGATCCTGGTTTCTAATACCACTCTAATAAAAGGAACGTGGAGAAATTTCTGATTCTAGCGATGGGTTAAGGAAAACAGAATGAATGGACATCTTAAGTGTCAGAAACTAACCAAGTATTCAAAAAAAACAGAAGAGTACTTGTTTCAACAGCATATATACTAAAATTAGAACAATACAAAGAAGATTTTAATGGCCCCTGTATATGGATGACATGCAGATCGTTAAGCATTCCATATTTTTGTAAATTTTATGTTATATTTTATCAGAATAAAAAGCACACACACAAAGAGGAATGAGGTTACATCAAAACAGCACGAGGGGCAACTGAAAAAGCTCCCAAAGGCAAAAACTGAAACAACTGGATTACAAGCTAAAGTATATAAAATATTCATGAGTGGTATAAATGAATATATTTATTATTGAACTAGCCCAGGATTTTACAAACTTCAGTAAAACGAATTGGGGGAGAGGACAGCTGTTTATTACTAAATTCCAAGAAATTTGTGTAGCTAGGCCCCCCTTTTCAGGAAGTGGAGCATAACTAAACTAACTCCTTTGGTGGGCTAGACTGACTGACTGACTTCTAAATAGAGCGTGGAAAGGGAAAAATAGTTACTTAGAGTGGAGAAACCTGGCAAACGGTCCACTTTTGCCAAAAGATCATGGTTAGCAGCACCAGTGTTAAAAAATCACATTGATAGCATGTATCGTCTGATAGGTGGATAAGAAGGGCACTTCACATCGGTGATACTCTGACCCCAAACTCACAGCCTCAGTCTAATCACAAGAAAAACAACCAGGAATACCCAGGTTGAGGTGCATTCTACAAAATAACTGATCACTTCTTTTTCAGTCCAATATAAGACTGGGAAACAAAGAGGAGACTAAGGAGACAGATTAAAAGCAGTGTATCTGGGATTGGATTTTGGAATGAAAAAGATATTAGTGAAATAGCTGGTGAAACTAAATAAAATCTGAAGTTAATACTTGTGTGCCTGATTGGTTTGTTTTTTGTTTTTTACATGTGAGATGGTAATGAAGGCATTAACATTAGGAGAAACTTAGTAATGGATATTAGAGAATTGTGAATTGTATTTTAAACTTTTCTGCAAATCTAAAGTTATTCTAAAATTAATTTTTTAAAACTTGTATTGCTGAGGCCTGTCTAACCTTTACTGAACAGAGCATTCGGATATTGTAAACAATTCTGCAAACAAATAAAAGCTCTTTCAATTCACTTTATGTTGCTTGTAAAATGTTGCAACCATGAGGTAAGGTGTTATCTAAAACTTCTACACAAAACACAAGTCCTCAGAAGCGCCCCCCAAATCTCCTACCTTATATGACATGACAGGGATGCTTCTCTGCTTTTGCTTGGCTTGAGGTAGAAAAGAAATATCCACTGAAAAATTCAATCCTAGACTTGAGCTTCAGATCAGTTTGGAGTTTGAAATTTTATTATCTGTAGAATGATGGAACCCTTAAACCAAGAAATTAACATAAAATTTGATTTTTTTTTTCCACATAGCAAATCTTTTTTAAACTAAAATTTAAAGAACACAGATAGTTTGTGGCTAGAAAGTTTCATTCTTTTTTCAAGCTAATGCTTTTATTCTGAAATTCATATACTCAAATCTAAGGCATGTTTTTATTTCTGTAATTTATTCATTATAATTTTTAAAACAACTTAATTTGCCCTGTTTGTATAGGAAAATGTAGCAAAAATTGGATGTAGAGTGAGCATAATGTCTGAAATGCCCCACAACTGAGAATCTGGCCTAAAACTTGGGCACATGCCCTGACTGGGAATAGAACCAGTGACCTCTTGGTTCATGGGTTGATGCTCAACCACTGAGCTACACAGGCCAGGCATAATAGTTTATTAACATTAAATTACAACACATTATAAAGCATGGATATTATTGCCTCAGTCACTACTGAATAAATCTGTGCTTATATTTCCCAGAATATTTATATTTTCAGATTTTTTTGGCTGCTCAAACTTACCTTGTTGATAATCCTTAGCATTTAAGTATATCTGTTGCCCTGACCAGTTTGCTCTGTGGTTGGAGTGTTGGTCCACAGACTGAAGGGTGTCGGATTAGATTCCTGGTCCAAGGATACATACCTTGGTTGCAGGTTTCCCACCCCCAGTAGCAGGGCGTGCAGAAGACAACCAATCAGTGTGTCTCACATCAGTGTTTCCCCTACTTCCATTCATTGGAAAAAGTATCCACAGATGAGAATTAAAAAAAAAACAAAAACACAGATATCTGTTGTCCACTGTTTTAAAAAATATATATTACACAGAGTGTCCACAATTTTAAATAATATATACTACAGATAGTGTTTGGAGTTTACTATAATACTTTGCTTTTAAAAATCATCATTTCTGTTGCAATTTAAAGTTGGTTTCTTTGCCCAGCCATGTGGCTCAGTAGTTGAATGTCCCATGCACTAAGAGGTCACTGGTTTGATTCCTGGTCGACGCACATCTGTGGGTTACAGGCTTCATCTCCACTAGTGGGCATGCAAGAGGCAGCCAGTCAAGGATTTTTATTGATATTCTATCTCCTCCATTTCTCTCTCTAAAAAAAAAAATACAAACATATATCTATATGCATATATACATTTAATATAAAAAATATATGTTTGTTTGTTTTTTTAAGCTGACGGGGTGGAAATTGCCCACTTGTACCAAATGCTGCTCAATAATGATGAAACAATCATTACTCATCAATATTAATGCAGTTTAGCAGGATTCAGAGTTTGGCATTGCTATTTAATAGTTGTGTGACTGTGGATGGGCAAGTTAATTAACCTCACTTTGCTTCTGTTTCCTCACATATAAAGTGCTAAAATATATGTTTTATAAGATTATTGTGAAGATTAAAATACTTAATAGATGGGAAGCACTTAGTACCTGGCACATGATGCTCACTGTTTGCTAACTGCTATTACAAATACACTACTGTCATTATGCTTATTATTTTCTTCCTTATGTCATTTTCATATTTTGTTCTCAATTTAGATAGTTTGACTTTTACAATACAGTATTAAATCTTTACAGGAAACTTTCTTTAGAGTTTTTGTCTAATTTGGTATTGTTTACTAGTGTGAATGGATTTATAAATAATAGAATAACCTCTTATTTTTAATATCCTGATTAAATAAAATAGGAATAATTTTAGGATAGCAAAGTAGCTATTATAGTTCTCCAGTCAATTGCATTTGCCAATCTTCTTTAATGGTTTGTTTATCCCATAATTAGCTATAGATTTAATTTTTTTGCTTTGTATTTTAGGACCCTTATTTACTAAGGATTATTTTCAGAATCCTGAAAATCAACTCTATTTATTTTTATGTATTTGTATATATTTATATACAAATGTATTTTTAAAAGTATAAGTATATTCCCATAATAGTCATATTCTTGTATTAAAATTCTTGTATGATTGCTAATTTTGTATATAACACTTTTTATACTTATTTTGGGATTTTCCTCAGCCAATATTTTATTTGCTATGTATTCTTTTATTTATACCCAACACATGTGAAAATGAAGCATTATGAGTTTTTTGTAATCAGTTATTTTTTTTAATTCTTCCCCAAGGATATTTTTTCATTGATTTTTGGAGAGAGGGAGAGAGAGAAATATTGATGTGAGAGAAACATATCGATTGGTTGCCTCCTGAATAGGGCCCGGGCCAGGAAGGAGCCTGCAATCAAGGTATAGGCCCTTGACTGAAATCGAACCCAGGACCCTTTGGACTGCAGGCCAACACTCTATCCACTGAGTCAAACTGGCTATAGCATGTAATGTGATTTTTATGAACTGATTAGGGGTCTGGTGTACAAAATCCATGCATGGGAGTGGGGGAGGGGTCTCCTCAGCCCATCCTGTACCCTCTCTAATTCAGGACCTCTCGGGGGATGTCCCACTGTCAGTTTAGGCCCAATTCTGGGATTTGACCCTAAACCGGCAGGCAGACATCCCTCTCACAATCTGGGACTGCTGGCTCCTAACTGCTTGCCTGCCTTGCTGATTGCCCATAACTGCCACACACATACACACACCCCATTAGCCTGATCACCCCTAACCACCTCTGCATGAGGGCCTAATCACACCTAACTGCCCCCCCCCACCAGCCTTGTCGCCCCTAACTGCCTCCCCGCCCCCCGCCAGTCTGGTCACCCCTAATTTCCCTCCCTGCAGGCCTGATTGCACCTAACCACCACCACCCCTACCAATCTAGTCACCCCACACAGCCTGCTGTTCAGTCATTAGTCGTTCCTTACTAAACCCCCCCTTCTGACCTTGTTGCCCCACACAGCCTGCTGTTTGGTCTTTACTGTGATAGCATCCCAGACAATTTGTATATTCCTCTATTAGTATAGTTTTATGCATTTGGGGAACTACTTTGAAAGAACAGTAATCTTAATGCCTGCTATGGGGTTTGATAAATTGACTGTCTAAGCAAAAAATAGTCACTGACTTTAGAGATCTTATAATGTGTTATTAGTATGTTTCTGAATTATAGTTTTGTTATTTTACAGTATCACTTTTATATGGCAAAGAAGCTATGATTTGCTTTTAAAGTATTATAAGTATTTTCTCAATTTTTTCATTTTGAAAAATATTTTTTTTTGTTAGAATAAAACTATGTATATTCCCTTTTATAGGAAAGAATATCCACCTCATGTCCAAAAATTTGAAAATAATCCTGTAAGGTTAAGTTGGCCCCAAGGTGTTGGTAAGTGTACAATTTTACCTGATACATCTGTAAAAGATTTTGAGTAGTTTGAAAGGTAGAAGTAAAGCTATAACCTTGGCATTAAAATATTCCCAGGTATAATATAAATATGTAAAAAAAAAAATTGTAACTGAATTGAGAATTTATTTAATTTTGAATAAAATCACCAAGAAATGGTTGCACATTCAGGTGATTACAATTTGAAATCTTTATTATTTTTTGTTAAGTTCAAAACTCAAATCTTTTTTGGGTTATAGCATCAAAATATGCAAATTGACCGAATGGTGGAAAGATTGGCACAATGACTGATCGCTGTGATGCACACTGACCACCAAGGGGCAGACGCTCCATGCAGGAGCTTCCCCAGCCCACAGGTCCCGGCAGGGGCAGGTCTGACGAGCAGGCGGTGCCAGGCCAGCCAAGACTGGTGACAGCATGGGCCCTAATCACCCTGCTGGTCACCCCACAGATTGGCCCTGATCACTGGCCAATCCTAGGTACTCTACCCATGTACAAATTTTGTATACCAGGCCTCGAGTGTTGGAATATTTTATCCTGTAACTAGAGGCTTGGTGCATGAAATTTGTGCATATGGGGGGGGGGGTCCTTAGTCCAACCTGTGCCCTCTCGCAGTCCAGGACCCCTCGCTCCTTACTGTCTACCTGCTCCCTGATCCTTAACACTCTGCTTGCTGCTCCTATTGCTGCCATGTGAGCCCTGCTTCTGGCTGAGCTGCACTCCCCCTGTAAGAGCACACTGATCACCAAGGGCAGCTCCTATGTTGAGTGTCTGCCCCCTGGTGGTCAGTGCACGTCATAACGTCTAGTAGTTCTGATCATTCCGCTGTAATGGTCTTATATAAGCTAGAAGCCCGATGTATGAAGATTCGGACAAGAATGGGCCTTCCTTTCCCTGGCTGCTGGCACCGCCTTTCCACTCCGGCCCAGGAGCTGCCTCTTTCCACTCCAGCCCCGCCTTGCCACACTGCCCAGAGGCCCTGAATAGCTGGGGCGGTGCAGAACGCCTGCATCCCACCCCTGGCCACTCGGTGTCTGCGTATGCAAATTAACCCGCCATCTTTGATGGGTTAATTTGCTTACTCCTAATTGGCTGGTGGGTGTCGTGAAGGTGTGGTCAATTTGCATCTTTCTCTTTTATTAGTATAGATATACCTGCATTATTGGGCTGAAACTGGCTCTTTTACATTACCTGAGGGGTCCCACCAATGCATGATCAGGGCCTGGGATAGACAAAGGAGGTTGGCCAGTCAGGGAGGGACTGTGGGAGGGCTTCAGGACATGTCAGGCCCATCTCGCTCAGTACTGATTGGCCGGACCCCAGCAGTAAGCTAACCTACCTGTCAGAGCATCTGGTGGTCAGTGCATGTCAGAGGGACTTGTTGACTGGTCGACTGTCAGCCCTCTGGTTGTCAGTGCACATCATAGCGAGCAGTTGAGTGGCCTTAGCATATCATTAGCTTTTTATTCTATGATTGAATGGCTGACCAGTCAACCAGACACTTAGTATATTAGGCTTTTTTTTTTTTTTTTTTTTTTAATAGGATTGTCTTGACTTAAAGTTCTGATTATTCTTTATTGGATGTGTTGAAACGTTATTTTAACTAAAACAATTTGATAAGTTAGTATTTTTTCATAATCAGGATCATGAGGAATTGGTAAAATTTCATTTTAGTACTTTTATTTTTGTCTCCTTCCTTTAGATCCTATAATGAAGAAAACAGAAGAATCTGAATCGTACTTGGAGTCTGAAATCAAAAGGAAAGTATCACAGAAACGTCACAATTCATATCTATCTGCTACTCCTGTGTCCCCTGCCTCAAAAAAATCTTCAACTGATTTAGAGGTGGGTAAGGTAATTATACTTAGTTGTTTATGAAATGGTATTTTAGTAATATGATTTTTAGTATTTATTGAATTGTAGGTGAACTGTATTCATACTACTAAAAGAGAGACAAGTTACTTAGGCAAACTTTTCTGACTTCACTAGATTTTTTAACTATACAAAATCTAGAATGTCTTTTTCTGGAAAGAATATATCAGTGCAACATACTCCAAATAACTGCTCTCAACCAGAATTTTTTTTTTTAATTGATTTGAGAAAGAGAGTGAGGAATGGACAGAGTGGGGAGAGATAGATTTGTTCTACTTATTTATGCTTTCGTTGATTGCTTCTTGGATATGCACTGACCAGAGATCAAACCTACAGCCTTGGTGTATGGGACAATGCTCTAACCAACTGAGCTATACCCAGCCATTGTCTCAATCAGAATTTTTTTTTAATACATTTTCGTTGATTTCAGAGAAGAAGGGAAAGGGAGAGAGACATGGAAACATCAATGATTTGAGAATCATTAATGCACTGCCTCCTGCATGCCCCCTACTGGGAACTGAGTCCACACCCTGGCATGTGCCCTGACCAAGAATGGAACCTCCTGTTAACCACACAGCCGGGCAGGAGTAATGTTTTTAAATGGAGTGGTTAGATCTCATATATGGATCTGGTAGCATCCAAGTACAATACATCTTTATAATGGCAATCTCATTCTGTCATTTCATTGTCACAACAAATATTTGTTCACTAGTTTCCTTTGATATTAGGCTAAAGTATTAAAATAATTTTCTTTTAGACTGAGTTATTTCTCTTAAAAAACAGATTAAATGGATAGTTGCCAGAGTGTAGGGGTAAGGTGGGATGGGTGAAAAAAGTGAAGGGGAATGTAGTCAATAATACTGTAGTTAGTTTGCATGGTGACACATTATTCCTAGAATTAGAGTGGTAATCACATTGTAAGGTTTCTCAATGTCAAATCATTATATTATACACCTGAAACTAATGCAATATTGTATATCAATTATACTTAAATTTAAAATAACAATCCTATATAATAAAAGCCTACTCTGCAAATTGTCCCTTTGGGTGGTCGTTCGACTGGCAGACTGAGAGTTCAACCACTAACCATCAGGGAGAGGCACAGAACATGGTGGGCAGTGACGCCATGGCGCTGGCAGTGGGTGCTCAGCTGCTGGGGCCTGTGAGGAGCCGGGCGGCAACCAGTGGACTGCAGGGGCCCATTGGGCTCCTGGTGTGTTCACACAGGAGCAGATCTGCAAAGCCTGCCAGAAGACAGCATGCTGCCTGCCCGGCTTCCAGGAGGCCCACACTGCGCCCTGGTCCACGGCATCCGGCCACGCTTGCTGCATCTTCATGTGGGCATTCTGGAGCTGTGATTCAGGCGGTTGGGGGCTCAGAGACCCAGGTGTTGCCCAGGGCTCAGAGGTCACCTGGTCCCTGCCCTTCTAAGCCAGACCTTGATCCCCAGCCAGGCCTAGAGACTGCACCTTCGTGTACAGGCCTTTTAGTACAGTATAAATACATATAATATACAAAAATAATTATTAATAGGTTTAAATTGTATGTTGTTACAAAATTAAGTAATTATTTGGCGTAAATATAGATGTAAATGCTGAGGTAATAAGTACACAAATAAGTTTCACATAAGTACATGACTGTGGAAAGAATGATAGTAATATCATCAATACCTTTAATTTTTTCTAATTTATATGCCCCAAATCACATGATACTGTTAGAAAACATTTTTTTAAATATATTTTATTGATTTTGTATAGAGAGGAAGGGAGATAGAAACATCGATGAGAGAAAGTCATCGATCAGCTGCCTCTTGCACACCCCCCACTGAGGATATGCCCACAACCAAGGTACATGCCCTTGACTGGAATCGAACCCTATCCATTGAGCCAAACCAATCCCGGCCAGAAAACATTTTTAATAACATAACTGTAACATAGAGTAAGCCTTCATTACAAAATTTTTGAAATACTGACTTAGAAATCAATTGTCTTGCAAAATTTTGTTAACCAGTACTTATAATTCATTTTTTCAACATTTAAAATTGTCCTTTAGTTTGATTTAATAGTTTTTATACCACAGGAAATATATCATTAGTGATATTTTAAATGGAAGGTTTAGCATTCTTCTTTTTTTTTTTTTCTTTAATGTTTTATTGATTTTCTGCATATCCCTCAAAACAGGCATATACCCTTAGTGGGAATTGAATCGTGACCTCCTGGTTCATGGGTTGATCCTCAATCACTGAGCAAAACCAGCTGAGCTAGCATTCTTATTTTATAGAGGAGGAGAAGCATTTGTAGTAGGAGATTCCTTGACATAAGCATAATCATGTTGGGTTTTTGGAAGGTTTTATGTAGAAATTGAGAAACTAGATATTGATTCCCTTAATACGTTAAGTGCCAAGCCTGTTTTGTCTTGCTTTCTGTTTAGCCCACGATATCCAATTTCACCAATATACTGGCTGCACCAGTGACTGACAGGTCTGGACAGAAAGTATAGTGTCAGTCACTGGTGACTGACATGGCACTTGATGTGTTAAGATTATTTATGCCTTGTATGCTGGAGTGAAGGTCTCAAAAATTTCTTCAGCATTCTGCTGCTAAATTCTAACTAATATGACATATTCAGGATTTTTGTGGTAGTCATGGTGATGTGATGGGAAGTGAGAGTTAATTTTGAAATATTGTATGTATTTGTTCCATGATGTTGGAATAAAATGCCAAAGTCTTATATTTTTTTGAAACCTAAGTTTTCTGAACAGTATGAATATTGTCCAAAATGTGGTCAAGAAAAAGAAATCAGACCAAATGTCAAAGTTGTGATACTCTTTTTCCTAAGGATTTGCCCAGAAGTTGCAGACCAGCTACAGCTTTGAATGAATCAACTAGTTCGTTATTGAGAACATCAAATCATCAGAATTCTGGAGGACAGAAGTCACAAAGCACAGCATTAACACCCAACAAGTTTTATGGCAACACTGTGGGAAAGGTTCCAATTGATATTATTGTAAATTGTGATAGACAGAATTATTTACAGGCTAATGGGAAAGTCATTTTATCTAGGGCTAAAGGCGTCAAGACCACAAATCTAAAAGAAAGGAAAATAAGCTTGTCAGACCTGAATGATCCAAGTAAGTGTTTTACTTCCTTTGGTATTGCTTATATCAGTTCAATATTATAAGGTGAACATGAGTATATTTGAGAAGTATAATTTTGTGTGAGTTATGTAACATTTTTTGGGTAGGTGATTAAAATTGTATTCATAGTTAGCAAATAATAACTCACCTGGCCTGCGGGTATCAGTAGACCTCTGTGCCACTGTAGCCCTGCCTTACCTGCTAGCTTGTTGGGCTCTAGCCTGCTGTCCAGGTCGATCCTGCACAACACGAAGTAGTGCATAGTGTGGCAGGCGGCCAAGGAGGAGCCCAAGCCCAAGCCCAGGCTGTGCGCTGTGCTCTGTGCTCTGCTCATCCTGGCCCCGCTGTGATTACTGCTGCTGTTCGGGTATATAGGGGGAGTGTCCTCAGGAGAGGCTCCTGCTGCCACAGCTTGTGCTCAGCATCTGGCACCCATTGGTCAGCTGAGCAGTGTTCCTCTGTGGGAGTGCACTGACCACCAGGAGGCAGCTCCTGCATTGAGCGTTTGCCCTCTGGTGGTCAGTGTGTGTCATAGCTACTGGCCAGTCACCCAGTCACTTGGGCTTTTACACACACACACACACACATAATAAAAGCACAGAACTTGTCCACATTCCTAGGTCAAGTCCATGTATGCCTAGCTTTCTAACTTCAGCCTGGTTAATTTAATCTCTCTGACCAATAAATGGATACATTACCATATATATATATATATATATATGTCTAAGCAACCAAACAACTGGTCCACTGGTCGCTATGATGCACACTGACCACCAGGGGGCAGATGCTCCCACAGCCAGTCAGCCCCAATTGGCCTCCCCAACTTCCTGTGGCCCCTCACCCGGCTGGCCAGCCCTGATATAGATTGCATGATCAAGCAAAAAGTGATTTTTAAGCTAATTCTTGATGCTAAAGTACAGAGTATTAGTGGGATTCTGATTCTGACAGAACAAGCTTGTGGGTAATTGAGAAACAGAATAAGTGGCTAGTTGGACTAGAGAATAAAGAATGAAAAGTGGAATAGTATAAGAAAGTTGGAGAAGTAGGCAAGGCCCAGGTTATGTACATTTATAAACCAGAGTAAGGAGTTAGGATTTGACATAAGTGCAGTGTAGGTGACTTTGAGGAATTGTGATAAAAGGGATGGGTCTGGTAAGATGTGTGTATGTGTGTGTGTGTGTGTGTGTTTATGTATGTATATATACACACACACACACATATATATATATATATGCACACACACACACACACACACACAAGCCTAAACGACCGAACTATCGTATTGATGCATACTGACCACCGGTGAAGGGGTTGGGGGGAGTGGTGGTGGCAGACAAATGCAGGTCCCACATTGGGACCACTGCTCAGCTTACCAACAGGCATCAGACATATAGCTCATGGCTGGCTCTCACAGCCCAGAGAGTGCTGCAGAGTAGCAGCGAGCCTACTGAGCGGCAGCAAGATGAGCAGTGGGGCCAGGATGAGCAGAAGCGGCAGGTGGCATTGGAGTGCTGGTTTTGGTCCAATCCCCAAAGTCAAATCTATGCACCAAACCACTAGTTTAATAATAAGTATAAGGCATAAGAGTAAATTACCTTCCTAATAACTTTTCTTGTCCATGCTCATTTATTCAAGATTAATTGAGCATTAGGCACTGGTCCAAGTTCTTCCAAGGACCATTTAGGATTTTAGTGATTTCCTATATGCGATAAAAGTATGTGGTCACATGAAGCTTTATACATATTTAAAATTCATGCTATTTGTGAACAATTTGTATGCTGATTATCTTTATACTTTAGCTTTTTGGAACTTGGAAATGTATACTGATTAAACATTTAAACATAGGTGTATGTTTCTTTGTGGGTGATGATGATGGATTATAAAATCAATTTTATACTTGTATGTTATTTTGTCAGTTACTATGCTTTATTTTTTAATTGTTTTATAAATTCACCAGATAGAGTGGATTATATCTTCATTTACTTTTATTAATCTCAGATCTGGAGGAGATCCAAAGCAGATTTGGTATATTCCCCATTTTGGTAATATATTTACATTTTTTTTAACTGCCAGAAATGAAATACATGAAGTATTTAACATTTTTTATAGTCATTTTGTCCAGTGATGATGATGATGACAATGACAGGACTAACAGAAGAGAGAGCATATCTCCTCAACCTGCTGACTCAGCATGTTCTTCCCCAGCACCATCCACTGGAAATGTAGAAGCAGCACTAAGTGAAAATACCAGTAGAGTAGAGCATGAACTAAGAAGCATTCCAGCAGATTCAGAATTAAATACAGTTCCATTGCCAAGAAAAGCAAGAATGAAAGATCAGGTACTTTTTACATTTTTTTATATTTATCCAGATTATGTCTCACCTTTGGGATGGATGTATTTGGAGGGTAATTTGGCAGTGTTACTAGAAGAAAAAGATAAATTATTCATTTAGTGTGGCTTAAAAGCCACTTGGAAGATTATTTGGAAGAACAATCCATTAATTCACAGGTTAAAGTGTAAACAATTCAGCAAGAAGAAATAATGTCACAGCAGCAAGTTAAGTATAAACAAATATATTTTATAATTTGGGAACAGGGCGAAATCATTTTTAACTTCATTGTATTCAACTACATCATTGTTCTATTATACCTTACTGTATAAATTTTTCAAAATACTCAGATGGAAAAGATAAAAATTATGGCAGGGAGTAGACAAACAATAGACCTAGAAAGCAGTATTTGTAATGCAGATGACATATATTATGTTAATATATGTAATATACTAAGAACTCTTAAAGAAAAAAATAAAGTGAAGAAAAAGAATAGACAAAGAAAATTCAGATAATAAACTACCACATGAAAAGTGTAAATTAGTAAGTTAAAAATGACTTTACCTGTTCCCAAATTATACTGATATCAAATATACTTATTTATACTTACATGTAGTGTAACACCAATATTATTTCTTCTTGCTAAATAGATTACACTTGAACCTGTGATTTAATGGATTGTGCTTCCAACTGATCTTTCAAGTGGCATTTTAAGCCCCACTTAATAACCATATTCTAAACAGACTTTCAAAATGAATACAAAATTAGTCGATATAAACTTCTGCCAAGAATCTGAGTAAAAGAGTACTTTTGTAATTTGCTGATGGGAAAAAAAGGTGTTAGGATCTTTGGAGAAAGCAGTGTAAAAATATCTATTGAAACATTTTAAATGACCAAATAATTTATTCCCTAGACTCAATTTCAAAGGAATCCTCCTCCTCCCCCCCCCCCCCCCCCCCCCCCCCCCCGCTCCCCAGTACATAAGAATGTATAAAAATGATTGTTGGCATATAACTGCATACAGTATCATTACCCATTAATATGGAAATGGATGAAGAATTTATGGTATATCCACCTCATGGGCTTTTGTGCAGCCACTGGCCAAAAAATATTCAAACTATATTAATGACTTAAGTTTTCTGCATGGTACTGTTAATGGGAATACCAAGATGCAAAACTATGTCATTTTATTTGAAGAAAAAAAAAATTCTTTTTTTTGTAAATAACCTTTAAAAAATATTTTTTAAAACCTGAAAAAAAAATTACATATGGGGCGCTGGTTTGAAATGTGTTCCTATACACCAAAAATATTGCAAGTTCGATTCCCCAGCTGGTCAGTGTTGGGGCAGGTTTTGAATAGTTGATCAATGTTTCTCTCTCTCCCTTTTTCCTCTCTCTCTCTCTCTCTCTCTAAACAATTTTTAAAAAAATCAAAATAGATCCTTGGATAAGGTTGAAAAAAAGTTAGGACATGGGTTTATATATACATGTCAGGGATTATAGGAATATAAATAAAAATATGGGAATGTACATATTTGGTGGTTAAGATGGAAACCATAGGAATTGAAATAAAAAGCAATTATAAAGATTAAAGAAAAAGTAGGGATTAATATTTTTAATATAATCTTGAAGGATGCCTTTCCAAATGTGTATGCACAAGCAATAATAGCAAATGAAGTGACGAATATATTTGAGTAAATATATTCATGAAATATATGAAATACAGAACAGTGTAGCAAAACCTTATAAACATAATTTGATAGGTAAATGCAAATGAATTAAAAATAGGGAACTGACCGTATGAGTTAGTCCTTTATAAATTTTTAATTTTTTAAAAATCAAGAAATAGAAACTATAGAAAAATGACTAATGGAAATGAATAGAGTTCAAACTAGTAGTAAAGTATTGAAAATGAAATTAAAGCAATGTATTTTAACTGTCAGTGCTAAAACAAAAAACAAAACAAAAAAAAACTTCAGGTATAATAGTATCTCATTTTGGTTAGTGTTTGGAAGAATAGAGTATTGATTATATAAACTGGAAAAATAATTGCTATTAGGCAATTTGGCAAAAATCATATATATCTGGATTTAGCTGTGAGAATACTTCTTGAAAAATAATGTGTTGTGCAAAAAGTCCAGAAAGAACTCAGATGTCAGCAAAGGAGAATTAATTAAATCAATAATGGATTTCCATGTGCTAGAATTTGTGGGCGAGCAGTTTTCAACCGGCACATTGAACAATTAGGTTTCCTCAGAGATATTTTAGAGGCTCCTTGGAAGCGTATGGACTACCCTATTTCTAGACTCATTTTCTACTATGTATTCAGCTGGAGCAGTTCTTAAATTATCTACTTACTAGAGGCCCGGTAAATGAAATTTGTGCATGAGAGGGGTAGTGTCCTTCAGCCTGGCTTGCATCCTCTCCAATCTGGGACTCCTTGGGGGATGTCCAACTGCTGGCAGTCAGACATCCCTCTCACAATCCGAGACTGCTGGATCCTGACGGCTCGCCTGCCTGATTGCCCCCTAACTGCTTCCCTGTTGGCTTGGTCGCCCCTAACTGCCCTCCCCTGCCAGCCTGATCACTCCCAAGAGCCATCCAAAGGGAGTGGCCTGTGGGGTCAGGCTGAAACTAGCTCTCCGACATTCCTTGAGGGGTCCTGTGTTGCGAGAGGGCTCAAGCCAGGCCAAGGACCCAAATGGTGCATGATTGGGCCTGGAAGAGACCACAGGAGGGCTCCAGGGTGTGTCTGGCCCATCTCGTTCAGTCCCAATCAGCTGGATGCCAGCAGGAAGCTAACCTACCAGTTGGAGCATCTACCCCTTGGTGGTCAGTGCACATCATAGTGAGTGGCCTTAGCATATCATTAGCATATTATACTTGGGTTGAAAAGTGGACTGGTCACCAGACGACCAGACACTTAACATACTGGTATTAGATTTTATTATATAGGAAAAATATTTTTTACCCTGGCCGATGTCACTCAATGGTTAGAGAGTTGGCCTGAGTACTGAAAGTCTCAGGTTCAATTTCTGGTCAAGGGCACATGCCTGGGTTGTGTGTTTGCTCCCCATCCCAGGGCACATGCCATAGGCAACCAGTTACTGTGTCTCACATCAGTGTTTCTCTCTCTTCTCTTGCTCTCTCCCTCCTTTTCTCCTTCCCTTCCTCCATTCCACTTTCTGAAAAAGCAATGGGAAAAATATCCTCAGGTGAGGATTAACCAATATATATATTATATATTTAATAAATATATATATTTAGTAATATATATCAACTACTTTAAAAAGTTTAATAATATAAAGAAGCATCTTTTATTAATGCAGGTAGCCATACTCTTAAATCACCTTTTTTTCTAAATTGTTGATTTAACTCCAGGTTCTACAACCACTACTACTGTTACTAGCTAACTTATCTAGTATTTTTTTGTGCCTGAAGCACTGGGCTAAGCTGTTTATAAGCATTAGCTCACTTGAGTAAATACTCTTACTCTTCGTATTTTACAATTTAAGAAACCAAAATTTACAGAGTTAAGTTCACAAAATCAGATTAAAAGATATGTAACTGATTTGAAACCAAGCAGTCTTCCCAGAATACCATTTTTCACTGCTGGGCTATTATTTTAATTTAAAGTAATAACTACATAAACTATAGCTATATAACATACAGAATACCATTTTTCACTGCTGTGCTATTATTTTAATTTAAAGTAATAACTACATAAACTATAGCTATATAACATACAAGAGTTTATTATATAAAATCAAAAAAAATTCTTGATTTTATATGATAATATAAAATCTGAAGTAACTTAATCTTATGTTTTGATAATTACATTTCTCATATCGGGTCTTCTGCATATATATATATATATATATATATATATATATATATACACACACACTTAGTTCAAAGCCTTGTTTTAGTACTTTAATAAGTGCAAATTTTTTTCCTTTTCAGTTTGGTAATTCTATTATCAACACACCTCTGAAGCGTCGCAAGGTGATTGCTCAAGAAACTTTAGTTGATCCTGTATCTTTAAACTGCCCAACTTCCTATGGCAGTGTCATTTTAAACTGTCGAAGTATACGAGTAGGGACACTCTTTCGGCTATTAGTAGAACCTGTAATTGTAAGTACATTCTTCTGTGTTCATTGTACCAATTGTAAGATTCATAATTCTGTGGCTAAGGCTAATAAGTGATACTTTAAAATATTTAATTTAATTGAATATTAAATTATTTTTAAGATTTCATATGTAATAGTATATAAATAAGTCTAATAAAAGAATAATATGCAAATTAACCATCACTCCAACACACAAGATGGCTGCACCCATGTAGACACATGATGTCTACCACAAGGTGGCCAGCAGGGGAGGGCACTTGGGAGGGACCAGGCCTGCAAGGGAGGGCAGTTGGGGGGGGGGGTTTCCAGGCCTTCAGGGGAGGGCAGTTGGGGGCAATCAGGCTGGCAGGGAAGCAGTTAGGCATCAATCAGAGTGGCATGCGAGTGGTTAGTGGGTGATCAGGCTGGCAGGCAGAAGCAGTTAGAGGCAATCAGGAAGTCAGGTAGGCGAGCGGTTAGGAGCCAGCAGTCCTGGATTGTGAGAGGGGTGTCCGACTGCCCGTTTAGGCCCAATCCTTCAAGGGGTCCCAGATTGGAGAGGGTGCAGGCTGAGCTGAGGGATACACACACCCCGTGCATGAATTTCGTGCACCAGGCCCCTAGTTATAAATAAGTCCTGACATTAAAATCAGTAAAAACTTTTTTATAATTCATTGCTCTTGGTAGTGACATATTCATTGTGGGAAGATACTTAGTATTTTAACTGAGTTAAAAACTTTCCACTTCTTTCTTTAAATAAATAAATATATATATATATATATATATATATATATATATATATATATATATATATATTTCAAAGAGGAAGGGAGAGTGGGAGAGAGATAGAAACATCAATGATGAGAGAGACATCATTGATCGGCTGCCTCTTGTATGTCCCTACTGGGGACCTAGCCTGCAACTGAGGCATATGTCCTTGACTGGAATCGAACCAGGGCCCTTTCAGTCTGTAGGCCATTGCTCTATCTATTGAGCCAAACCAGTTAAGGCTACTATTTTATTCTTAATGCCAGCTCAATGAAAACAGTATTTTAAAGAATATACGTGCAGAAAGAAGAATCCAAAAGTTTTGGAGTCTGCAGGAAAATGTCTTACAGCACTAAGACTCCTAGAAATAGATTATTGGACTACAATAGCTATTCAAGGGGCACTGGTTCAATATCCTCAGAATCCAAAGAACTTTAATTAGTCCTTCTACTTTTATCTGTCATAAGAGTTTTCTTATTATTTTACTGCTACCAATCCAATTCACATTTGCATTTCCTGTTTGAAAGTTTAATGTAATGTCTTTAACTAGCCTTCTTAGTCATCATTGTTTTTCTTCTGTAATATGTTCTATACATTGTTGGGCAATTGATCTTCCTTTAGCACTGCACTATTTTGTAAGTCTTTAACTTGGTGTGCCTGGCTATCCATTTCTAACCTTTTAAACTCTGTCTTGTATTCTTCTTTATACAAGAGTAATATCTTTAAGAAAATAGATTGTATTAGGAAAGTTAAAAGGTTGCTTTATTATTATGTAAATTATGGTAAATAATAGCTATTTTGTAAATTATGGTAAATAACAGCTATTTAATTTTCTAGGGTTTTTGATTCTAGAACAAATACGATCAATAGGGGAAAAATCTTTATAGGTTAAGTTTATAGAAGAAAATGAAATGTGAACATGATTTCTTATGCAAGAAAAGCCATATGGGAAAAGTGCAGTTTTTCCCCCCATCAAAAAACTCTAGCTTCTCACTCATGATTTAAAAACTAGAATGGTCTGAAGTACTCCAGAGATCTAAAACAAATTATATATAGACTATCATTGCCCAGCAATATTGTTATATAGCAGGGTTTTCAGGGATTTATGAAGCTTCTGTTTTGTCTCAAACCTTCATGGTACAGATGATCTTCTATGGTCCTGTCAGGTAATAAAAATGTTACATTAAGTCTTATATATCAGAAATTTCCAGGAATATCTTATAGGTTTTATGGCTTTCCCCCTATATTATTCAGAGCACAATTATTCAGAACTCCTATGTATGATAATTAAGGCTGATAATTTAGCCATTTAGTTGAAAGTTACAAAGTCTCAAGACTATCTAGCAAAAATGACATTAAAAATTTAAATGAGCTTTTTACATTAAAGTTACAGATTAATATGTATATGATCTATTGAAGAAAAATTGGATTTAGTTTAAAAAATAAATGGCAGTGTATATAATAAACTGTGTTACTATAGGTTTTTTTAAACTTAAAATGCTAAATGAAATATTTTAGCTAAAAAGTAGTTGTGCTTATGATATGGAAGTTTTCTATCTGTTATTAATCTTCCTTGTACCATTTACCCAAAGAATATTTTCGATAGGGTATAGTGGATCTGTAATTTCTTCAGATTGTGTGTTAAAAGATGATTTGACATTTTCTATCTGTACATAACTTCCTTTATGTTTTACACTGAAACGATATATCTGCCATGTCATTATTAATCTAAGAAACAGATTTTAAAACTTAACACACTGACTTCAACAAGTGATTAAGCTTGTATCAATAGTGGGGCTTGTTGATATCATGTGCCTTCACTGTGGTTCCCTGGGTGTTGTACATTTTTTTAAAACCTACAATAGCTTGGATTTTTCAAAGGCTGTGTTATAAAAAGCAGAGGAAGGTTTCTCTCTGTTATAGACAAAAGAGAGACAATGTAACATTGCCATGAAAGAATCATTAGTGAGGAGAAATTAAGTCAAATATAAAAGACAATTTTGAGCAGTTGGGGAAATTTGAATTGTATGTTGAATGAACTTAATTTTTATTTTCTTAGATGTTATAGTAATGACCTCTCTGCCTTTATACTGGTTTAGCAAAAGGGAAATGAGTGTGTGTGTTTGTGTGTGTATCTATATATAAAAGCCTAAGCAACTGAATGACCAGTCAACCAGTCACTATGATGTGAGTTAACCCCTGGTGGTCAGTGCACTCCCACAGCCAACATCCCACAGCCCCTTACCCAGGCCAGCCAACATTCACCACCCCTCCCCCTGCCAGCCAACCTCTAGGGCCCCGGTCAGCCCCAATCGCCAGGCTGAGGGACCCCACCTGTACACAAAATTCGAGCAACAGGTTTTTAGTATATACATAAAGAATGATTAAGTGTAGGAAGATATTAAGTTAGTGAATCTGGGTATAAGTATTCAGATATTGTAATACTAGATGCCCGGTGCATGAAATTCAGGCACTGGAGGGGGGAATCACCTCATCCTGGCCTGCTCCCTCTTGCAGACTGGGATCCCTCTAGCAGTCTGGGACCCCTCGCTCCTTACCATCTGCCTGCAGCGGCCGTGGGGAGAGGCTCCCGCCACTGCCATTGCACTTCCCAGCCATGAGCCCAGCTTCTGGCTGAGTGGCACTTTCCTTGTGGGAATCCACTGACCACCAGGGGGTCAGCCCCTGTATTGAGCTTCTGCTCCCTGGTACTCAGTGTGCATAGGGTTCAGTCATTCCACCGGTCGTTCCACCATTCTGTTGATTTGCATATTAGGATTTTATTATATAGGATTTTCTTAATTTCTCTCTGAAATTATGAAAAATAAGTCAATAGTATAAGAATATTGTCAGTATTTGAATCAGAACAGCAAAGGCTACCTTTCTGAGAGGTAACTTGGAAGTGGGAGGTTATCTTGTTTTATATTTAAGCACACGGTAGATGATTCATTTCTTTTGCCCTCTGTAATCTAAGTGCCAAATAATATGTAATTTAGGGTGTTTGTAGCAAAATCCTCATAAATCCAGATTGGCATTAATTTGTTTTATTTTTTTTAGTTTTGTTTAGATATTATCAAGATACCAATTGAAGGTAAGCTATAATATGTCTTTTTGCTAACTTAAGTTTTGTTTACACTAAACCACTTTACAGGAATGAAAGATTAAATTACATATACATGATTAGTTATTAAATATATCTTAATACATTGCAGACGGATCACGAGAATTCTTGCTTCATACTACAGTGTTTTACAAAGTTATCATACTTTAAAAAATATTAGCTTGTAAGAACATGTAATAAATAACTTCAATATTCAATGAGTATTTCATTTTAAGCGTGCCTTTAACATTTATGTAAAACATTTTTTGTAATCTTTCAATAGAAACTTATCTGGCTACTGGGTAAAGCTAGCAATAAAACTATTGGTCCGTGATGTGTTATTAATGTAATTTCATTCTGTAATATCACAAAATCTGTATTTAATTGTAAGTATATTTCATTAGAACCCCCTTTTGGGGGGAAAAAAAATGCAGAAGCTTCTTTAAGATAGTTATAAAGATTTTTCTTCATTTCCCACTAGAATTTACTATTTACAGAGCATAATAAATGTGTTTTAGATTTTTCTTCATTTCCCACTAGAAGTTACTATTTACAGAGCATAATAAATGTGTTTTACTTTAAACTTGTATTTTCTCACATTCTTCTTCCTTTATGAATTTGCTGTTTTAAGAATTGATTCATTTTCCATTTCCATTTGTTTTTCTACAGAAGCAGAAGCTGATCCAGTAGGCTTTTCTTTAAATACCTCTGATCTAACTAAATGTGAATGGTGTAATGTTCGTAAATTACCAGTAGTATTTCTTCAGACGACACCACCAGTTTATGAGAAACTGAGCATGCTGATGCAAATGAGTATGAATGAAAATCTTTGGACTCACTGTAAAAGAATGCATAAGTTAACAAGTAAGTTATGTAGATTGCATTATAATAAGTACAATTCATTGCCTAGCAGAATGTGAGTATGCTTTGAGAGATCCTTTGCATATATATTATATTAGAGGCCCATTGTAGAAATTAATGCACTGGTAGGATGCTTAGCAGCTACTGGCTGTCAGCCAAGTACTTCCTCCCTTTCCCTGGCTGCCTGCCACATCCCCTGGTCAAACTCTTGGATAAACTCCCGGTCAAGGGAACAATATTTACTAGAAGCCCAGTGCACAATTCAAAATCCTGCAGCATTCCCTGGGCCCCACAGCAGCCACTGCCGGTCCAGCCCTGCCTTCCTCTCCAGTTCTTGAAGCAGCCACGGCTGCTGCTGATCAGGCCTGCCCCAAAGCTGCGTGCGCAACCTCCTATCTGGTCAACCCATGATGGTGTCCCAGTTAATTAGCATATTTTTCTATTTTATCTATGTATTCCTTATAAGAACCTTGTAGGATAGATATTGCTTTCCCCTTTAATAGATGAGGAAAAGCCCACATGACGTGGAAGTTCTAATGATAAAACACAGGTTTGCTCATTGATGAAGTTTTTGAAATTGTTAAAATTCAAAGGTCTGCACTCTTTGACCTTGTATTATCTGAGTAAAGTGATTTTTGTTTTAAATTTCAAATAAAGTTTACTTTCAATATTATTTTATACTAGTTTCAGGTGTACAGCATAGTCCTTAGATAAAATGAACTTTTTAAAATGCACTGATAGGTACTAAGTGCAACCATATAAATCGGGAATCCTTGAAACTTAGCCTGAATTGGAAATTTGCAAGTTTGTAGAATGTATCTTCAATCTCTATAATAATTGATACCATTCTGATGTTTATGACAAAGCATGAATATTTGTAAAATAAATACTTTTCAACAGAAATTGCTGCTTCAGCTTAAGAGTTTGCACATTCGTGAATACCAGTTTTTACAGTTAAATTCTCTAGCTCACTTGGAAATTTCTTACTTGTGTTTGATAAAATTTTTAATTTATACATATATAAAACTATAAACATATTTCGATCCTATTAGATGAAGCAAATGAGTTATACCCACGAATAGATTTGTTCTTCATCTACTGCTAGAGTAATGTGTTCTGATTCCTTTCTCTTAATATCTTAGGTGACATTGTCAGGTAACACTGTCACTGATCTTCATTTTGTATTTATTGTATATAGATTGCCAAATATTGTTTTGAACATTGATACGGGGATTTCTGGTGACGTTCTTGGAATAACTAGTTGTTACTCTTTTTTCTGATAACTTCTATCTAGTACTTATTTTTTTCTTTAAACTTACATTATATTGATTTCTTTTCAGATTTGGAAGAACAGTATATAATTTTAATTTTTCAAAATGCCCTTGATGCTCAAGCAAGTATGGTATTTGAAAGTATCGTTACTGAAATTGCTCTAAAGAACAATGTATCCAATTTTTTTGCAAAAATTCCCTTTGAAGAAGCTAATAGTAGACTTGTTGCCTGTACAAGAACCTATGAAGAGAGGATCAAAGGAAGTTGTGTTCAAAAAGAAAACAAAATTAAAAATGTAATTATGCTTTTGAATTTTTAAATCTTAACATATAGCTTTAAGGGGAAATACATTTTATTATGATACTGTTCATTTCAGAGTTAGATTTTTAAAATTCCATCTCAGAATTATTTGCTTTTATATGCAATTTATAAACTATTTTGTGTCTAAATATAATGGTGAATAGGTGACTTTGTGACAAAAATAGTATTTGGTACAGGTCTAAGAAGGATTTTTAGTTCCTTTCCATACTCTATTCTTTTTAAAAAATATATTTTCTTATTGATTTTATTGAGAGAGAAATATATTTTAACTGCCTCCTGCATGTTCCCCGCTAGGGATCAAGCCAGCAACTTGGACAGTTGCCCTCACGAGTATTCAAACTGGTGACCTCTCAATGCATGGGTCAGTGTTCAACCAGTGAGCCACACAGGCTGGGCTCCACACTCTATTCTTTTTTTACTTTTCGTCTCCTTTTACTCACTCTCTTTTTTTTTTTTTTTTCTCTTTCAACATACATATACATATACATTACTGCTATATTGCAGTCTGTTATTACCCTGCAGGTTTCTAGTCATGCCATTGGCTTCAATAAAATAAAGGGAGTTTTGGTTCCTAATGTATACTTATATATAACATGTACATATACGGTTAAAGCTTGGGAAATGAAGAATACCTACCATTCTGACTGTCAACTTATATATCCAGTTCTAGAATAAGTAATATAGTAGGTAACTCTGAAGACATCTGAATGAAAGGCAGGATTGTAACACACAGTATAATGTTAAATAATACAAACATAACTTAAAATACTCTAAATTTGTCCCTTACCACAGCAACTGAGTTTACTGACTTAATTTATTGAGAACATAAAAAATTTGCAGCCTGGCTACACATTTGGAGATAGGGCTATCCTAGGCACAATCTTAGTGAAGTTGACAAGGCCTCACCAAAAAAGTTGAGGAAAAGAACAGAATAAGGGGAATCTGTTCTCCTTCTTTTGAAAAATTATCTGCAGAAGATAGTTCTGGAGGAAACTAAAACAGCTAGAGCCATGAGGTAGCTGGGATGGGCTCAAATTTCAGTGGAAGGCTCTTCCTTTAACTCCTTGACTCTGGAGAACTGAAGCTCATTGTACTGTTTCCTCAGCCTCTGCTCCATATCCTATGGATTGCTTAGCCTTCCCTACTAGAAAAAATATATATATATATCTGTTCTTTGGATTTTACTAACAATCTAATTTAATATGGATATAGAGATTTCAGACAAAATACCAGAGGCCATTGTTTCAAAAATGTAGAAGTATCAGTGTACCAGAAATAATAAATGAACCGTTGTTTTTTCCTGTTTCTTTTTTAAAAACCATGCATACTTTTTAGATTCACATTTTTAATCCTTTTTAGTTAAAAAATTCTTGCCTTGTGCTTGCTCTTTTTATTGAAAATTTTCCCAACTGACTTCGAACCGATCATTTAATTTCCTGTTCCAGGTGCCCATGGAATCTAGAGTACAGCTTAGAAGCAAACAATTTCAGTTTTTTGATGATGATGATGATGAAACTGGAGAGAGTCACACCATCTTTATGGGTCCTGTAGAAAAGTGAGAGAATTCCTTTACATTTACAACATTCTTAAATTTCTTCTCTGTTTTATTGCATTTCAGTTATATATATACACACAAATATTTGATAATCTACTTTTTAAAAATTTTTTATTCCAGGTTGATAGTATATCCACCACCTCCAGCTAAGGGAGGCATCTCCGTTACTAATGAGGACCTGCACTGTCTAAGTGAAGGAGAATTTTTAAATGATGTTATTATAGACTTTTATTTGAAGTAAGTTAACTTTCTGCTAACCTTTTAGCAACTCTTTAGCATTCTATAATGTGTATCTTTGTTTTCTGAGTCAAACTATTTGGGTTTTGATTGCCATCATTGCCATTTAGTGTGGGAAGTTATTTAATGTCTCTACCTGTGGTTCCTCATTTTAAAAATTATATAATATTTAATAAGGTTGTAAGGATTAAATAAGATAATACATGTTAAGCACTAGGAAAAATATCTGGCATATGTAAAGTGTTTTTAAATGACAGCTTATTATGTTATTTTTGAAGTGTTCTAAGCCTTTAAAAATTGTTACCACCCTAGGATAGATACTAAGTTTTTGAGCAAGCACAAAAGTATGATCTCACTCATTTCCTTCAGTAAATGTTCAAGTGCCAGCTTATATACTAAGTACTATGTTAGAAATTTTTTTATCATAGGGAACACAAAAACGGGATTGAAGTAATAATAGAAGACAAAGTAGAAAAAAGAATGTTTCATTACTTTAGAGATAGGGAAATATGAAGGACCAAGGAGCTTCCCTGGAAGAGATTACATCATGACCCAATATACACATGCATATACATGTATGTGCAGTGTGTTTATACATGTATAAATTTGTATGTGTTTACTGGTTTGTGATATAAAATGGTGTATATATGAAACAAAACAACTTAAATATCAGTGTGCTTAGAGCTTTACAATAGTTTCAAGTTTACTCAAATGTATTTCATAATACAACAATTTTAGAAATCTGATTATTAAAAGTTGCTGAATGATTCTATAGCCTACTAATAGTTACAGTCCACATTGTTATAACTAGTGATAAGTATTCATGAGAGAAGTCATCAATAAGTGTTTTCTTAATATCATTTTGATAATCATTTTTATTATGGAAATCTAGATGAGAAATGATATAAAGAAATTTAAAGTGATCTAAGAAGCCTAATTAGGTCATTTTGTTTGAGGGAAAAGGAAATAATAAAATGTTTTAAGAGGTAGAGTTGTTTAGCAGGACTCTAAGCCTGATTGAAAGGTTATTAAGAAGGATAAAAATGGGTTTCAAATAGCTCCTAGTTTTCTTTTTCTTTTTCTTTTTTAATGTATTTTATTGATTATACACAGAGAGGAATTGCGTTAGAAACGTCGATGAGAGAGATACATCGACCAGCTGCCTCTTGCACCCCCCCCACCCCCTGGGGATGTGCCTGCAACCAAGGTACGTGCCCTTGACCAGAATTGAACCCGGGACCCTTCAGTCCGCAGGCTGACGCTCTATCCACTGAGCCAAACCGGCTTCGGCAACTCCTAGTTTTCTGACTACAGAGACCTGCTAAATGATTTTGCCACTAACTGAAGCAGTGAATCCAGAAGCAGAATAGGTTTGGGTAGGAGAGGGGGAAATATCCCTTTTAGATGTCTGATACAGCAAAAGGAGAGTGCCAATAAACCATTGAATATATGGTTCTGAATGTCATTTGAGTTCAGGCTGGACATATATCTAGTTAGGAGACTTTACTTTACAAGTAGTAATTTAGATAGGAAAATTGATCAAGCCCTGGCTGATTTGGTTCAGTGGATAGAGCAATGCTGTGGACTGAAGGGTCCCAGTTCAACTCCGGTCAAGGGTACATGCCTGTGTTGAGGGCTCATTCCTCAATAGGGGGTGTGCAAGAGGCAGCCAACCAATGATTCTCTCCCATAATTGATGTTTCTATCTCTCCCTCTCTCTTCCTCTCTGAAATATTTGAAATAAATAAATAGAAAACTGATCAAATGGTTTAGGTAGGGATTAAAAAATGAGAAAAGGCCATCAGGACAGAACCTGGACAATAGAGTTAGATAGACAGGGAAGATAGAGGCTCCCGTGAATAAATTCTGAAGGTATTTGAGAAGTAAGAAGAAAAATCCAGAGAGTGTGATGTCATAAAATTGAAGGGAGGTAAACGCTTTAGAGCTGGATACATTTAGTAGTATCAGCAGAGGTCGAGGCAGATAAAGGCTAAGAACAACTTTGAGGTCACAGTTACCCTAAGCTAATTAGGGTCCAGTATACATCCAGACTTCACCCTAGTCCATAGGAAGGCCGGGGAGATGGGGTGGAAGGCATCGCACTAGGCTAACCAGTGGAAGCCTAGTGCGATGCCTTCCACCCCATCTAACAGTTACATGGAGCTCATCTATTAGGTCTAGTAATAATTAATGTCGTTTTCTAATACTTTTTTAAATTGAATTTATTTAAACAGTACAACAAAATTTAATCAACAATATAGTTGCCGTTGTTTTCTACTACTTGTGCCCAACGCTCAGGAAGCATTTTAATCCCTCTGTTGTAAAATTCTTGTGATTTTGATGCAAAAAATTCGGTCAATGCATTTTTGAGGCATTCTTCATTATTAAATTTTTTTCCAAGAAGAAAGTTTTGCAAAGAACGAAACAAATGGTAATCGGAAGGGGCAATATCAGGAGAATATGCAGGTTGAGGGAGAACTTCCCATTCCAACTGGCGCAGTTTTTCAGCAGTGATTCTTGCAGTATGCGGTCGTGCGTTATCGTGGTGAAGAGTTACGCCCTACCGATTAATCAGCGCGGGTTCTTTTTCTCTTAAAGCTTGGGCTAACCTTTCCACTTGGGCACTATACACTGCACTTGTAATGGTTTGGTTAGATGGTAAAAGTTCATAATGAAGAATTCCTTTAAAATTCCACCAAACACACAACATCACTTTTTTCTCATGCAAGTCAGGTTTTGGCGTGGGCTGCGGAGCCTCATTTTTGTCCAACCATTGAGGCTGCCTTTTCAAATTAACATACAGCACCCATTTTTCATTTCCGGTAACAATTTGCTCTAAAAACGGCAAATGGTTTTGACGAGAGAGGAGCGAACTGCAAATTGTGACTCTCTGATTACGGTTGTTGTCGGTCAACTCATGAGGAACCCATTTTCCAAACTTTTGGACTTTGCCAAGTGCACGCAATTGATTGGAAATTGTTTTTTGTGAACAATTTAAAGTTGTCGCAAGCTCTTGTTGGGTAATTTGAGGATTTTGCACCAAAAGAGCTTGAAGAGCTTCTTGATCAAAATTGGACACACGGCCTCGACCACTCTTGTCATCTAACGAAAAATTTCCCTCGTGAAATTTCTCAAACCAACGCTGGCATTTTCTGGCGCTAACTGCATCTTGACCAAGAGCACTACAGATGTTTTTTGCAGCCTCACTTGCTTTTCTTCCTAATTGGAACTCGTAAAGCATGCAGTGCCGAATATGCTCTTCATCCGCCATCTTCTTAGCCCTAGTTTTGCAACAAAAACCAAACCAAACACAAACTTTTTCAAGCAAAACTTGTTAATTGCACTTCACACGTTCTGTAGATACCACGTGTTTGAAGGTTATGTCAATACAAGTCAACGCCAAGCAAGATTTTAAACGAATGTTTAAAAACGACATTAATTATTACTAAACCCGATACGTTTAATGATGGCCTAGTGGAGAACCTAAAACTTCACCCCACCTGGAAGTAATGAGTTGGTGCCTATTTTGAACACTAGAGTGTGGTGCCAGGGAAAGCCTGTAAAACACAAGAATTAAATGAGATCCAGTCTTATAACACTGAAATGTCCAGATTTTAAAATTACTTGTCTCACCAAGAACCAGAAAGATTTTAAACTGGATAAGAAATCATAGCCAATAGATAGTCAATACCAAGATTACACAGATATTAGAATTATCTGACAAATATTTTAAAGCACCCATCATATAATTTTTAATGAACAATTATGAACACTTGTGAAACTTTGTAGAATGGAATAAACACAGGCCAAGTGTGTCTTATCTACAAAAAAACTTCGAAGGTAATTACATGTGTGTAAATGAAAAGGATGGAAGAAGATAGAGCATGCAAATATTAATAGAGAGCAGGAGTTAACTCTGTTAACATCAGATAAAATAAACTTCTGAGCAAAGACAATTAATTACTTGCCAGGGATAGAGCAGGACATTAAACAGTGATAGATGAGTGAATCCATCAAGAAGACCTAGCTGGCCCTGACCAGTTCTATTCTGGTCAAGGGCATGTACCTTGGTCAAGGGCATGTATCTTGGTTGCATGCATATCCCCAGTAGGGAGTGTGCAGGAGGCAGCTGATCTATGTTTCTAACTCTCTATCCCTCTCCCTTCCTCTCTGTAAAAAAAAAAAAAGAAAGAAAGAAAAAAAAAACAATAAAATATATTTTTAAAAAGGAGAAGACCTCGCTGTACTTAGTGGGCATGTGCCATAAAACAGCTTCAAAATATGTGAAGCAAAATTGATAGATCTAAAACTGGTGGGGAATTTTTTTATACCAAGGGCCATTTAGATACTTATAACATCATTCAAGGGCCATACAAAATATCAAGTTAAAAATTAAGCTCCTGCCGAAACCGGTTTGGCTCAATGGATAGAGCGTTGGACTGCGGACTGAAAGGTCCTGGGTTCGATTCCGGTCAAGGGCATTTATCTTGGTTGCGGGCACATTCCCAGTAGGGGGTGTGCAAGAGGCATCTGATCAATGATTCTCTCTCATCGATGTTTCTAACTCTATCCCTCTCTCTTCCTCTCTGTAAAAAATCAATAATATTTTTTTAAAAAAATTAAGCTCCTATATTTGGTCAAACATTTAATTAACTCATCCCTAATGCCTTGGCAGGGCCAGACCAAATGATTTCATGGGCCTTACATGCCCTATTGGCTGGACATTCCTCACCCCTGATCTAAAAGGAGAAAGTGAAAAATTCACAAATATAGCTGGAGATTTTAATTCCCCTCTCTCAACAATTTGATAGAACAACTAGACAAAATCAAAAAGGATACAGAAGAATGCAACACCAGTAGGCTTTACCTAACATTAGGGGGTAATATTATACTCTATGTTAACTATACCCCCCTCATTATCAAAGATACCGTTTTTTTTCTTTTGAAAAGTTAATGGTAATAGAATATGTTTCAGTAAGTTGTGTGTTACAGATTTGCTG